CCCCCATCACCTTCAATCCCCCCTCCCCACCCCCCGGTTTGTTTACAGAGCGTAGTCCACTCACCCGGAGAAGGGAAGAAGCGCTCTGTGTGGAGGACTCACATCCGGGAGAGCCGCCGCGCCAAGGGGTCCCCTCTCCCCCGCGACTTCCATGGCTAGAGCCTCGGGCTGGCGGAGTCCGCGGGGAGGAGCCCGCCTGGCGCCCCTGAGGCAGGAAAGCAGAGCGTCGTGGCGCAAAGTGTCCCCGCGCCCGCCACCCCCGCTGCGGGAGCCCCGGGCTGGCGGCGGCCGCGTCCTGAGCGCGTTCGCAGCTGGAGCGCGGCCGCGGGTCTCCCGGGTCTACGCAGCGCGGAACTCGCCGCGCCGCGCGCAGCAGCGGTTGCCGCAGCCCGCTAAGGGACGCCGCATGGCCCCGGGGAGGCCCGCACACCCGGGTCGCCACTGGCCACGAAGTTTCCCCGAGTTGGCCGGCGCCGGTGCCTCCTCCCCACGCTGCCTCCTGGGAAGGCCGGGAGACTCCAGCAGAGGCTGCCCGGGTGGGTGCACCGGTGGAGAGGGAGGCTGGCAAGGCACAGCTCCGCCAGAGGAGAGTGGAACGGAACGCGGATTCCAGGGTGAGACTGGAGGACTTTCTGGGACAGCGAATGGCGGGGCGGTGGGGGGGTGAGGAAGCCGCTTGGGGCATCCCGGGCGTCCGATCTGCAGCACCGGGAGAGGGTGAACCCGATTCGCAACTGGCTTGGAATTCACAGGGACCAGAGGGAATTCGTGAACCTGCCTCGGACGTCTCCCTTCGGGTTCATCCTTCCTCCCAGAAGTCCAGGAGAAACCCCAGCCTTCCATCCTCCCCCGCCACAGGACACCTCCAGGCCCTGTTCTGGAAAGACCTGCAGTCTGGTCATTCCGCGAAGACGCCCCCCGCGTGCGCCCGCTGGGCGGGAGACTGGTGGGGGTCAACGCCAATGCTAACTTAAACGTCTCCTACCAGAAGCGCTCTCTGTCCCCAGCGCAGTTTCCACGCCGTTCTCAGCATTTAACCACGCCTCCATCTGTCTTCCGGTCCCAAACCAGCCCCTGCAGAAACACACCCTGAAATGCTCGTTGCTCTATCCCGGGACTCCGCTTCTGGCTCGGGAAAGCCAGAGACGCCTCAGCGGGGGACGGGCAGAGGATGTCATGTGTCACAGTCCCCCCGAGGCGCGAAGCTGCTCGGTGGGCCGCACGCTCTGTGTGCGTAAATCCTGCGGATTTATTTTGATGACTCAAACCTCTGATTGGGGATTAATGAAGACGGCGTACTATGAACTCCGGAGAAGTTGTAATTAAAGTGTC